AAAGTACGAAAAATCGGCTTCTTGTCCTCACCCCCCCCCCTGGCCGACACAAGTAAAGCGAGGCAGTCTAGCCGAGAATTGGATTTATATAAACCAAAAAAACCTCATGCTGGAATTGATGGTGACACTGAGGAGTATCTTGCAAGTACCAACTAACATGAATCTTCTTCGTCTTCAAATTTTAACAAAAATGGCTTTTAACGAGCGCTTAAGCCGTTATTCGTATGAGGCAAAGACCTCAGCGCGGCAATCTTGGGCCTCGTTCTTCTTTCTTCACTGAACACCTTGAGTGGCACCGGCTCAGCTTGACAGTAAAACTGATAAAGTGTCCATACATATCCTATGCAAGTTGTTATTTACAGGCGCTGAAATTACTTCCTGTGTCCTGTATCCAGATGTTCCATCAGTTCTAATGTAGGAGCTATTTTGGCTTTCCAATTTATTCCTGACTACTTGGCGTCGACAACGATCACTTTCACCCTGCATGTGTTTTAGAAACAAACAATGCTCTAGAATGGCTAGGTGCTAACTGGCTAACGTAATATAGCAACGTAGTGGCACATTTTAACTTCTGCAGTAGATAGGTACCGCAACAATTTCGAGCGAAGCTCTGTGTAGCAGACTGCCCACCAGCTCCGCCAGCCAGCGCATATGAAAACAAGATGGGATGCTCAACCGCAAATACTGCAGTGCTGATGATAAATTATTATCTCTAGAAATACTTCCAATGACTTCTATAGTTTGAGCATAGGACCAGCTAGGGATTGGCATTTTTCATCGAGTCTTAAAAGCCGTTTGACTTGTTTCAATAGGGCTTACAGACAAAGAAAGCGCATGGAAAAAAAGATAGCTTACTCGGCAGAAGACGCGACCACGGAAAAAGGAGCTTTATTTTCCTGACGTTTCGGATTCCATCGGGAATCCTTAATTATAGGTAATGATAGCATATTCTGAGGATATGCGCAGATAGGGGTGAAAAATGCACAGGTTGCACGGTATTTATAGTTTGTAGCGGTCATCCGCATGCGTACTATAATCATCCACTCCTGTAGCCACCGCTTGAGTGGATTCCCGACGGAGTCCGAAACGTCAGGAAAATAACGTTATTGTTCCAGTGGTCGCGTCCTTTTCTTCTGATTTGCTTCCTGGAACTCGCATATTTACGTCTTTTGGATAGCTTACTGCTATCGCAGATGCTCAAAATAGTCTCTGCTGTGGGGAGGCGATGGCGGATATGGTTGCTCAGGCGCGTCACACGTTAAATGGAAGTTTTCACTGTGAGTGACATATGATCATCCGGTCCAGAAGCGGTCGATCGAGACACTGACTTGGAATGCATTTAATGTAACGCAAAAGTTTTGTCTATGCGGATTAGGCAACTCGAGTCCATGTCGGCCTTTACACAGACGACCTTCATGCATACTTACTAGTAGACTGGCATGTACCGGCATGCTAAAAATCTTGTGTCTATTTTTGTATGATGAAGTTTCGCTGATCCTAGGTCGGAGTGAGGTAATTGAACACCCAGAAATTTAAAATAGTGTTCCATGATGAGCACGTTAAATTTTTTGTTATGTCCGAAAGGGAATGTGAGAGAAGCAACCTTTTCATTGGAATTGGAAACATTTCAAATATGCATTTGAGGGAACAATCAAGAAATCCCGTAAGCCATTGCCGAAACGGCTCAAGTCTCTCGGTTTTTTCCCTACGTCTGACATGGTTTTTGATGTACGGAATTTAAAATTCGTACTGAGTCTTACACATCTACCGACAATATCCTTATTCTAATGCTCACTTTCGCCCAAAAAATCGTTTTTTGGCATACTAGGGATTAGTGTCTTTCCTTCATTGTAGATGGGATTAAGCAAGACTGCACACAACTTCAAGTTATTTCTTTGCAAAAAAGCAGTAAAATAAAGAATCAAGATAAGCAAGCTTGCAAAGGTATTTGTATCTACATATACTTTAAGAATTCAAGACTGGCGAAGGTAAGCTTTCGATTTTCTATCATCCGGCGGTTGCAATAAAACAAATGCGAAAGCTCACATTCCAGGCGTCTGCATTAGTAAAGGAAAAGGCTGGTCGAACACTGGACGAATTTGCTTATTGTTCTAAACTTTCAAGCTCGCAAAGAAGCTCGTTGTAAGACATGATCATAGCAACAAAAAGCGACAATTATAGGCACCATAATTCAATCAACTATCTGCGACGCAGGTCCGGAGGCGAGTACGCGGGGTTCTGTACGCCGTCACCAAATCGATACTTGAGTAGATTGAGTTCCCATCTGTTAACCAGGCTTTAAGCAATCCTCGGCTCGTCTTGCTCCCTGAGTGAACGAGTATCCAGATGGCTGCGAAGTGGAACTCATGTCCTGTTTCGTAGGTGTGAGCAACAACGTGCGATGGTCTGTCGCCCCGACACACAACCAGCTAATCTTCGTGTATGTGTAATCCAGGCATGCGTTCAGTTTGACCTGTGTAACTGCAAGGACAGCTAAGACATCGGATACGATAAACTACCCGAGATTGTTCTTTAGGATTTAGCCGGTCTTTGATTTGCATGCCCCTGCTGCGTCTTGGGCCGGTGTACAATTCCAACCGTCAGTCCCGCAGCGCTGCACTCAGTTGCTTCTGAGACACCTCAAATACCATTCCTACGGCCTGCTGCGGTGAGTCTGAATCCGATTAAAAAGCGTTCTCACACAGCTTCGCTAGTGAGCAACGGGGAAATCGAGAGTACAACCTACACAATACAATTTTTCAGCTTTCACAGCAGCCATCCGATTGTTTACTAACGAAGCTGCGTGAGAACGCTCTTCAATCGGATACAAACTCACCGCAGCAGGCCGAGTTTGAAAATTCAGAACAATAAGCAAACCGGTCCAGTGCTCGACCAGCCTTCTCTTTAACTCATTTACGATTATATGAGCGAGGAGAGCGTGGAGAAAGCTCAAAAATGTAGTAAACACTAAGTAAGAGGGAGAGGATTGAGTGGGTTCAGAGATCAAGGGGGCAAATTTCATGGCTATCAATGGGTTAGGGAGAGAGAAGATTATTTGGTGCTTCTGCGTCTCCATCGTAACGCAATGTTGTAACAGGTGTGGAGAGGCATACCAAGGGGGCTTTAAAGCCTGTATATGAACCTTCTGTGTGTACAAGATGGGGGTAATTTGCCGTATGTCGATGGCCTCTACCGACGCTAGTATCCGCTGACACAAGAACTTTGAGTGTCGAAGAAGAAGATGCGATCACTGGAACAAGGACTTTATTTTCCTGACGTTT